GTTGGTTGTTGTGATATCCTCAGGTCATCTTTTCTGTAGTCCTCTTCTGAAATACTTGGCTTTTTTCTTGCTAGTCTTTTCAGTGACCAATTTCTCCTCTGTTCCATCTTTGCAGACTGAAACTTTACTACAATTTACTTTCTGGCCAAACTCACAATATTTTGAATTATTCTGCTGGATTCTTTTCACTTGACTTGCAACATAAATCTATGCAAAAACTCCTAACAGTAGTCATGTTATCCCTTCAACATTAGACTATCTTCAAATTTCTTCTGCAAGATTGATCAGTCTGCCATCCTTAACCTCAGTCTCAGGCAAAGACTCTGGACATGAAAAAAAATTCAGACAAACTTTCTACCAAGGCACAACACATCATCTTGACTTCAACAACAATGCATTCCTTTCAAGCAGAAACCTCCTGAGTCTGCTCTTTACTGGCATCATCTCTATCATTCTGGTCTTCTGAGCTCTGACCAAACTCTCCCATATAGAACAACCTAAGGCTTTCCAGGGCTGTTTTTCTATCAGCATCTCCAGACCTTTCTAAACTCTTCCCACAAGCCAGTCCCAAAGGATCCTGAACCATATGGCCAGGTATAGTCACAACAACAACCCCACTTCTCTGGCACTAAATTCTGTCTTAGTTTCTTTTCTCATTACTGAGGCAAAATATCTGACACCTGAAGTTTAAGGAAGAAAGGTTTATTTGGTTCACAATTTGTAGAGGTTTCAGTCTATAATCATGTGGCTCTAAGATAGGGTGCCACAACAGACAGCCAGTACAGAGGGAAAACAGTTCATGGCAGGCAGAAGGTAGCAAATCAAGCAAGGAAACCAACAAGTGACCTTAGGGGCTTCTTTTGCCCCTGTTTATTTATATTCTGTCTAGGGTACCAGGATTAGGGTGGTTCCAAACCAACCAGCGCACTGATTCAGTAATCACAGACCCCTAATACCAGCATCATACACTTTAGATTTAGTCACTTCTGAAAAAGTCCCCACTTATGAGCACATGACATTTTGGGGGATATCTAGATACAAGCTATAACACATACAATGAATGCCAACCTTTCATATGGTTCTCTGCTGTAGTCTAATTAAATAGTGTCACAAAAATTCTGTAATACCCTCTTCTGGAGCAAAACAGATCTTTATAAATAGGTAAAATGGGTTACTTGAGTGTATAAGTACGTCAAGTAACCCATCAGAGCTCTAGAATATCTCTGGCTATTGCTTTTTATCTTATTTTGGAAGGCAAGGTCCCAAGGTGGTTATGCAATTGGAGAGATGGTTTTCCTTGCTACTCTTGTTTCTGCAGCTTCTTGCTAATTAAAACAATTCACATAGCACAATGTGTCTCCTCTGTGCAAGCTTAATATGATTGAAAAGCAGATACATCCAGGTTTGAAGGACCTTGAAACTGATATAATTTGAGGATAGGACGGGGGGAAGAGAAAAGAGTTCTTTATAGAAAAAGAACTGGGGTTGTAACTCAGTGGTAAAATATGCATAGTATATCTGCAGCCATAGGTTTGATTCCTTAGCAGAGGGAAAAATAAAAAATTGCAAGCATAATCAGGTATGAATGAGGAAAATCAGAATAAATCATAGATTTTTAAAAATATAGACTCTAGAGAAGTAATAAAATATTTGCTTTATTAACCTCTTGATATTCATCTATGTTTTTTCCTATATATTTTGGCTGCATATAACTTTGTCCACCTCTTCAAATGGCAGTGATTTTGTAAAATTGTTTGCAATAGAGGGAAAAGAAAGATAATTTAGTTTTTTCCCTGAGTCACTGTTGTTATCAGTTTCTGGACCTCCATGTTGATTTTCTGCTTCCTGAAACTGCCTCATTCACGAAGTATGACCACTCAGCACAACTGCAAGTATGATTCTTCCTCTTCACCGACTTATCCTCTAGCCTGGCCAAACACAAGTACATTTACACTGTCCTTATGATCTATGCCCTAATAAATTTTGACAAATTCTATTAGGGTATTTCTTAGAAAGACAAAAGTCTTAGCCGGGCGTGGTAGCTCACGCCTGTAATCCCAGCACTCGGGAGGCTAAGGCAAGAGGATCATTGCGAGTTCCAGACCAGCCTGGGCTACAAAGTGAGCTGAAGGCCAGCCTGAACTGCATAGTGAGACCCTCCCCTCCAAAAAAAAGAAAGATGAAAGTCTTCAAAATACGAACTATTTGATGATAAAGGAACAGTTTGTGAAGAGGCTCCCCGATCTGTTAGCCCTTCTGCCTTTACCTATCTTCATCAAAGCCTTGGTCAGTCATTTGGAAACATCCAGCCCTCAAACACAACAGCAATCTATTGCAAACCTTGGAAGTGATGTGGAATTTCATAAAACTGACACAAGTGATGTTGGTTTAAAAAATAGTGATGTTGGTAAACTGCTTAGCTCCACATAAAAGTCACTGATAAAGAAGATCTCACAGAAGTGGATCAGGTAACAATGTGAAAGAGAAAAGCAGTAAGAATGATGCTGACATCATTAACTTCAAAAGGAAATAATTTGATTTCAAAAGATTAAGAGGACTGGAGAAAAGTATATAGTCCTGTAAAACCTTCCAACTCAAAATATTATATATATATATATATATAATGTTCCCTCAAATTAATTAAGATATTAGGATTAGCACATAGTTGGAATTCTGATCTAAAATGCATTAGGTGTAAGACTAATTTCATAATTTTGGCTGATTTTTTCAAGGCAAAGTTCTAATGAAATCTTTCTCTTGCATGTAGAATATAGGTCTTAATTTTTCAATAAATTCAAATAGATTAAAGGAGTAAAATGATCTTTTCTGGTAATAACTGTATTGGGAAAACAAAGAGTATGCCAATTTCTTTTTTTCCCAAACTTGCGGTATTTCAAGAATCCCCCTACCATAACAATTGTGAATCTCCAAGAGCAGATCAGAAGGCAAGAGTTTTAAGAGCTCCATAGTTTTGAGAGTCACCCTAAATGATTACCATAATCAAAACAATGGGATTACTTTTTTGACATAGGGCTTCACTATGCAGTTCAGGTTGGCCTTGAACTCACTTTGAAGCCCAGACTAGCCTCTTGAACTCATAGTGATCCTCCTGCTTCAGCCTCCTGAATGCTGGTATTACAGGCATGTGACACTACACCTGCTAAGTATAGGGATTACTAAACATTTCAATTCATAAAAACTCAGAACCAGGCTGGCCTTTTATCTGCTACTTAAACCAGCACTCTACCACTCCCTCAATCCCCTAGAATTTTTTAACCATGTCAGCTGGTTTTTCTGCACTGTATTTCTTTGTTCTTTTTACATTATCCTCTTCCTGTGTTGGAAAGGGGTTTCAATTTTATCTATGTAGTCTTCAGAATTTTACATCTTGCTCTTGCTTTTAATGTTGTTTTATTTCCTTAGAAGCAAAACAACCATTTTTAATATTCCATTAAAATTAGTGTAAGTGATTTTCTCATTTTTCTTTTGCATTTCCTCAGTGTGTATTCTTATGACTTCATTTTACTCTGTTTTCATTTGGACAGTAAACTACTTTGCAAATATTATTCTGCACAGCCTGTTTTTTCAAGTCTGCCTGTCAGATCCTGTAAGACAAATCCTTCAGCCTCCATTTCTTTTGTATTTCCCCCACTAAACCTAGATTAACCCTGACTACTATGCCATATGCATCATTCAGTGGGTGATTAATATTTTAAAACAATATTAAAATTTTGAATAAACTTGACAGTCATTCTTCTCCCCATCACTTTAAGTGCCAACACTTTTTAAGTCCTTTCTCTGTCTAGCAATTATTTCTCCACATACCTACATGTCCCTAGGTTTCAGCCAAGGAAGTTCTCAATTCAGCTTTGCTTGCCCGAGTTATAGAAATAGTTTACATTTTCCCCCAAGACCCTGATGTGTTGCTTTTCCCCTTGGTGATAGTGAAGTGACAGTAGGGTTGAACAAAGTTACATTTCTTTTTTCCTCTTTCCTTTGCTCTCTCGCCTTTCAACTTCCTTCTCTTTTGTCTTTTTTCCTTTCTCCTTCTTTTTCTATTTCTTGTACTAGGGATTGAATCCGAGGCTTTTGCCTTGAGCAGCAAGTCCAGCTTTATTTACAGACTGGCTCTCGCTAATCCCCTAAAATGCCAAGACTGCACTTCAGTTTGCAAGGTGTGTGCCACCATGCCCAGTCACGAATTTGTTATCTTCATTTCTCTCATCACCTTTTACAGTAAACACAATATCTCTTTGTTTTCATATCTGTAGCATGTTTTTCATTTTTAGCATCTGAAGCATGCTAGGGACTTTAGGAAACTTTTTCGCGTTTTAAGTAACATTTTTTCTTCATAAGCTTTGTTTGATGTCACTTTTCTTCTGAACTATTAAGTCAGGTAACACTTTTAATAACATTCTTATTAAGCATTATTTCATACTTATGGAAAATAAGCTTACATTTACGTTGTATGGACTCAATGAAGACACAGAAAAGCTTACTCTTTTTTGTGTGTAAGAGTGTAGGAATTGCAAGATGCTTTGGCATCTGTCCATTAGTCTACTCAATCGTCACAAATTTGCTACGAGTAGAGAACAGGTCATTACCTCTAGGCCAAGGAAAAGGAAACGCAGAAACATTAAATAACTTGTCCATGGCCACATCGTTTGGACTGACCCACACCAAAAACGAGGCTCTGAACACCAGTGCCGGTCTTGGTCAGCGTAACACAGCTCAACCTTAAGAAATAGATAACCTGTGCTAAGAAACGCCCCAGATAAGCATGTGCGGAAGTCGGGAGGAGGCGGGGAGAGCATACTACGCTTGCGCAGATCACTAGTCAAGCGCCTGCAAAACGAAGGTTATGGAAACCGGGCCCTTCTTTAGACTCCACCCCCGACAGCTGACCTCCTGACAAGGCGCAGGCGCACTTCTTAAGACTGAAGGTCAAACGCCGGCGGGCAGGTGGGGTGGGGGGGAGGGAGGGCGCTCCTGGAGTCGCGCAGGCGCAGTTGTGAGCTGGGCGGTGGGGAGGGGGGTGAGTCAAGATGGCGTTCCCAAAGTATAAGCCGGCGCCTCTGGCCACTCTTCCCCCAACCCTCGACCCAGCCGAATACGATACGTCTCCGGAAACCCGGAGGGCGCAAGCTGAGCGCTTGGCCATAAGAGCCCGACTTAAACGAGAGTATCTGCTTCAGTACAACGACCCCAACCGCCGAGGGCTCATCGTGAGTGGGGGGCCGGCCGGGCGGGACGCGAGGGCGGTCTGCGGTCCCTCCAGGCTGAGCAGCACAGATTGCACAGGGGGATGCGCGGGGCTGGAGTTTCCAGTCCGGACCGTAGTCGCGGGCCCACTCCGCGGCCTGCAGCCCAGGTCACGTCTTTAGCCCTTTGACCTTGTTCAGAGAGCTGCCAGTTGAGGGTGGGCTCTGGACTCAGGTCTTTCCGGGTTTGAGCCCTCCCTGGAACACTTCCTGGCCGGTCTTGAGAAAGCTGTCTACCTCTACTTGGCCTCCGGTTTCCTGTCTAAAAAATGGGCACAATGCAGTACTTTTACGAGTCTGTTGATTAAATAAGACATGTGAGTGGACTAGCAGAGTTCTGGTTTGTACCCGGCGTATTCAGACCCGTCTACGCCTCAGAATAATCATAATTTTAAAAACCTTCTTATACTTGTCGATTCACAACTCCTGGAGATACTATTCTGTCCTGATGGGAACAAAGAGATGATGCTTCCTCCTATGTTTTTAAAAGACCTTGCAGCTGGCTGCAACTTTGGACTTGGAAGGAGACCAAAAGGGAGTGTACCAGCAAACTATGAACTTGAACAACTTACCTAACCCTTCTAAATCGTAGTTAAGTGGTTCATGGGAATGATGTACATTCTTCATAGAATCGTGAGATTAAGTGAGATAGTATATGCAATTTCCCAACACAATAAATGTCCAGATTGTTGTTTAACAAGTGTGCTTTTTGATAGTTTTCTCTGCAACAGCAAAGTATCTCAAATCACATGTTTTTAAAAAAAAACTAACCAACAGTTCCTTAGTGTTCTCTAGGAAATTTTGGGAATTGTGAGGACTAAAGGAGAGTTACAGTGTAGCTGACACTTGCTAAACTCTTTGAGAATATATTTATTCAAATGCTACAATTCTTAATAAAGTCCTACTATCACATTTTCTAGATGAGAATACAATGTGGGCAGGATACAGCCTATACAAAAACCCACTAACAACAAGTCGTGGAACTGAATTTGAACTCTGGTCTGGAGCCCACAGTATATGCTGTTACCTACTTAGCTGTCCAGAGAAAAGCTTTTTTACTTGACCCGTCTATTCTATACAATTTCACACGGTCAAGTTTGATGTGCTGGATAATATAATGAGGGTGAGGTGGGCATAAGGCCTCAGTCAGATCTGAGCTGTAAACCCCAGATTCATTTCTCAACACAGTGACCCAAGGGAAGTTTCAGTTTCCTCATCTGTAAAACAGAAGAATACTTAAGTTCCATTAATTAAATTTGTGACATGATCATTTATTAATCCATACATGTAAATCCCCTTGCCTAGTCTTTAGGAGTGATTGATTCAATAGTAAATAATTGGTCATTCAAGTATTACATAATGATAAGAAAAAGTAGGAGAGAGAGAATTGGGAGTGTGTTTGTAGAAGGGAGGGTGACACAACAGCTAGCTAGAGAAGAGAGGCAGTGTGAGGGCCCTTGGCAGCAGTGAAATACTGGAGACCATTGTAGTTACAGCTGGCGGCAGAATGGGAAAAGAAGTCAGGAGAGTTAGGGGGACTAGATCACACAGGGCCTCACTGGGCATTGCAGTTTCATACAGTTTGGATTTTAACAAGATCTTTAGTTGCTTAGGTGAGGGAGCCAGGACAAGGGAAGAGAAATGAGTTAGTAGGAGGCTTTTAGAATAATGGAATCTCTTGGTTGATAGCACAGGAATTGGAGAGAAGTGGTCAGTTCTGAGTAAGTATTAAAAATAGAGCCAGCTGGGTTGCAGATTGAATGTGGCGTTTGAGGAAAAAAGTCAACTGTGACTCCATTTTTTTTAAACTACTAGTATTGAATCCAAGACCTTCATATTGAGTTTTAATCTCAGCCCCCTTTAAAAATTTTTTTTTTTTTTTCAATTTTGAGATATGGTCTCTGGGGCTGGGGATTTAGCTCAGCAGCATAAGCGCCTCATGAATCCCTGGTACCGATAAAAAAAATTTTAAAAAAAGAGAGATGGTCTCACAGGTTTGCCCAGGATGGACTTGAATTTGTGATCCTCCCGCCTCAGCTCCTGAGTGCTTGGGTTGCTGGTGTGTGCCACCATGACCAGCAGAAAACCAGGATTTTTGACCTAAGCAATTAGAAAAATAAAGTTTTCTTTTAGTAATGTAAAGAAGTATGTGAGAGGAACATGGAAGGCAGTTAAATGGAATATTGGGAAATCAATTTGGGATAAATGACATTTGAGATGGCTGTGAAGGCAATCTGTCAGTGCTGAACAGTGGTCAGATACTGTTTGGAGTTCAGAGTAGAACTCTAGGGCTAGATATTAAATTTTGGGAGTCATCGATCTATAGATAAAGTCACTGGCTGGATGATACTGTTAGTGGAGTAAATAGGAGAGACCAGCAAGGTCTGAAGTCCAGTATTAAGAGATTGAGGAGACTGGAGGAAAAGAGCAGAAGAGATCAGAGAATGGCCAGAGAGGTAGGAAAAACTCCAGCAGGTGTGTTGTGGGGCCAGAAGGTCAAGTGAATAAGGATTTATTCACTTAGTATTCAGTAGTTTCAAGGATTCACCATGTTTGATGCCACTGATAGCCTGTTAGATGTTGAGTAGTCTAGAAGGAACATTGTTTGCTGTGATGGGTCTTTTGGAATGTGTCTTAATCTTTGTTAGTAACAGTACTGCACTTAATGAACAAACCATGGTCATGAAGCTATTGGTATTTTTATAAAATGAAATCGTGTTTCTGGAAGGCAGATCTGGCAGGTATTACGGCATAGAACTGACTGGAAGACTGAAAAGTCAGTAACGTAACTGGGTAGTCATTCAAATACATTAGGAGCAGAATAAATATATTTAATCCTGTTAAATAGGTACTGAGTTCAAATACTACTTGAACCAGCTCTTTGTGGTTGCCTGCTTTACTGTTTTTGTTTGCACTATGTGAAAAAGGATCCTGCAGAACGTTGTTGTATTTGTTTTCATTTTAATGTTCATGTGATATTTTACAGAGTAGCAAAAGTAGTTTTAGACTTTTGAGTCTAGTGGTGAATGTCACAGCTGATTGAGGAATTTCAACCTGCCAGAAAGGACAGGGAGCATGTCCACCACAAGGTTTTGGTCCTTCCCAGTGGATTATCTCAGGGCAGAGTACTGTAATTTGGTTTGGTTTGAAACGTGACTATGAAAGACCCAGCTAAGTTAATTTAGTTCTACCAGTTAATTTACTTCTACTTCTTGGTGTTAATTAGGACCTTAAATGTTTGTGTTACATATTAAAGTCAAGCTGATTTTACTTGTGTATTTTTATCTATAGGTAAGTTAATTGAAGAGACTAATTTTGTAAAATCATTTGGGGGTTTCACTAATTAAATTTAATTATGTTTTTAGAGTAGATGAACACCAAGACAGGTGGGTTTTCTTTAATAGCTTTTACCTTTTAAAACTTTTTTCCATTTGTTTTTGCAGGACGAGGAATTGAATCCAGGGCCTTTACACTAAGCAACATTTCCAGTCCTTTTGTAATTTTTTAGGTCTCATTGAGTTGCTTGAACTGGATTTGAATTTGTTGTCTTCCTGCTTCAGTTTTCCAGAGTGTGGAGATTAAGATGTGTGCCACCATAACCAGCTTCTACAAAATTTTAAGTAGTGTGAAATGTACTGGTTTTTCTTTTAAAATATCAGCCAAGTCAGCTTAAGAAACTTATACTTCAGAGTTAGGGATGTGGCTCAGCGACTTAGTGTCTAGCAGACCTACAGCCAGGGAATCCATCCCCACTAACAAAAACAAATACCAATAATAGAAAACCTTACAGTCCAGAGTTTTGGTCTACTTTTGTTTTTATCTTCCTGTGGCTTATTCCTTGTCTGGAAAGACCAGTGTTGGGATAGCATTAGAAAGGGTCCTAGAAGCTGTGTTTTGGTGCATTCCTGTAATCCCAGAGGCTGAGGAAGGAGGATCACAAGTTTGAGCCCAGCGTGGGCAGTTTAACAGCATTAGAAGACCCCGCTTCAAAGTACAATAAGGACTGAGAATGTAGCTCAGTGGAAAACCCTGAGTTCAGTTGCCAGTACCAAAAAATTAAATAAAAAGCTGGGGAGGGCTGGGCATCGTGGCGCATGTCTATAATCCCAGCACTCAGGAGTCTGACCTAGGAGAATCATAGTAAATTCAAGGTCGCTTGAACTGCATAGTGTGACCTTGTCTCAAACAAATAAGCAAACAGGGAAAAGGCTTTGGAAACAAAATACAAGGCTTACAAATACATATACAAGTACATAATCATCTCTCAAATCTAACCTCCGAGACTACTGTGCACTTTCTGATGGTCACACTTTAAGAGAGTAGGAAGAGAGTAAAAACAATCTAGAGAGGAATAGATAAAGAAGGAAAAGTCTTCTCTGATAGTTTCAGAAAGCTTAGAATTCTTAAATAGAAAGCTGAAGAATGAGAAATTTTAAATGCTGAAGGATTTATTAATACTAAAAATGAAAAATCTTCCCTGAACATATATTTAGAAATACGCAGAGAGTTCCTTTAACTGTTGTGCATAAAAACACTTCTATATTCTCTGGTCCTTCACAAAAATTCTGATAAATTTGTTTCTGAAAATGGCCCTTCTTAACTTGACTGTTTTCATTAATTTTAGGAAGATCCTGCTTTGATTCGTTGGACGTACGCAAGATCAGCTAATATCTACCCCAATTTCAGGCCCACTCCCAAAAACTCACTGATAGGAATTGTATGTGGACTGGGGCCCCTTTTCTTCTGGTATTATGTTTTGAAAACGAATAGGGTAAGTATTAAGACCAAATGTTTAATCTTAGTGTTGAAGTGATAGGTTTTCTGGTAGGTCCCAGATGCAGCTTTTTACTTTGATAATTGCTCTCAGGCTCCCTGCCCACCTTAGCCCTGGACTCTGCCTTCGGGGTCAGCCTGTCTTTCAGACGACCCTGGACATATTGAGGGTGGTCTGGCTACAGACTCAGTCTCTCAAGTTCTTAATGTTTCCCCGTTCTCCAGGCTCTCTGTCTCCCTCCTCCTCTCTCCCCTTGCCCCTTTTCTCTGTGTCTGAGAAGGGTCTTACTCTGTAGTCCAGCCTAATCTTCATCTTGGGATCCACTTCTCTCAGCCTTCTCAGTGTTGGGATTATGGTGCAATCATGTGCCATCAAACCCGGGTCTTCCTTTCTCTCTTTTATCTTATTCCTTTCTAGGTAGAGTTAAAAAAGTGTTTTTAATGAAGTAGTTCAGTTTCATCGCTTTGTTATTTTAACTCATATAGAAATATACTTTGTTAAAAATCATATTAGTCTCTGGATCTTTCAGATTTAATTTAATGTCCGGTCCACAATTTAAAGTAACAAAATGGTCAGTTTAAATTTCTAAAATGAACTTTAGCTCATGCGTTTTCCTGGTGGATTTTAAAAAATAATATAAGGAAATTAGACAGTGATTAAGTTACTTTTTTCTCATTAGAAGATACATAGAAACTAAACTGTTCTATTGTGATTAACCTTTAGGATTAAAGGAATTTTTAGGGACCAGGGATTTACCTCAACTGTATAAGTGCCTGCCTGGCAAGTGCAAGGTCATGAGTTCAATCCCTGGTACCAAAAAGAAAAGAAGAAGAAATTTCTAGTTTTTGTTCATTTGTTTTGAAATGTGATGTTTATTGGCTCACAAATTAGCAAAATACGTAAATTATTTTTCATGAATTTTGGTTACGTTGTGAATTCGTAACAAGATGTATTGATAAACGACAAAGAAGCAACAGCAGCTAGACTGGGACTCACCTGTGTCCGAGACCTCGGATGGTTACAGCAAAGAAGGCATATGTCTGCACTAGGCCACTCCACTTCTGCCCTGGAGCCCTGGCCACAGCCACAGCCTGCTGTTGCCATCTGAATTGGAGCACTCCATCCGTGTTGGTTTTCAGATGGCCAGTCTACTCCTGTCAGGAGTTTGTGTCTTTCATTATATGATAAAATTGACCACATTTTCCCAGAAGCCGTTTGCATTTTGCTTTCAATGTATGCTTTTTAGTGGGTAATTTCTAATTACTAGAATGTAGGTAGTTTTGAGTAGGAGCATTTTCTTGTTGTCGTTTAGATTACTACTTCTACTCCCTGGGCTTTACATGGTGCCATTACCATTAAGTTTGGAGTGGTTTATTTTGATTTTTAGACCTGTACTATGGTTATGCTACAAGACATTGTTTTTCATCTGTTGTTTTTCTGTCTTTACAGGATAAGAAGGAAAAACTTAATCAGGAAGGAAAATTGGAACAACCATTTCATGTCACCTATTAAATCTGATGAATTGTGACAAGTGTTTTCTTGCTTAAATAAATCTTGTACTAAAGATTGGGCGTGGTGGTGCACACCTGTAATCCTAGCACTGGGGAGGCTGAGACAAGGAGGATCACTATGAATTTGAGGCCAGCCTGGACTACTAGTGACTTCAAGGCCAGGCTGAATTATGTAGTGAGACTCTGTTTCAAAACAGAAAACCAAAACAAAAGTAATAAATCTATTAATCATTAACTAGTTTGTCTTAATGTTTACTTTGATTCAGTGTTGAAACTTATTAACACCTCAACAACAGAAGCAGCTTGTGCTAGGAATCACTGCCATCAAAAGATGGCCAACATTCATTGACGAGTCTGTTTCCTAAGAGCTTGCAATTTAATGAAGAAACGAGTTGCTTTGTATCACACAGCATCAACTATGAGTAAGGTGTGTGCTGTGTGCTGAGCTTATGACAGTCAGTGAGACTTAATGCTGCAAGTGAGAGTACGGGCTGGCAGCTATGCTCAGCAGTTTCTTGAGTGCTTAGTACGTATCCAGAAAGTGATACCTACACCATACCACAGCAGCGGAACAGTAACTGCAGTACAGAAAATACAAGATCGGGAAAACACGGAAAGCTGATAAGGAAATTTTAGAAGATGGTATTTGGTCTAGGCTCTGAAGTTCATAAATCATCAGGGTGAAACAGCATGAAAAGGCAAGGTCTGTGGAGTCGGCTGAGTTGAAGGCCTCCGTAGGTTGAGAAGATGAATGGTGGAGGTCATGCTGAGTAAAGGCATGGCTTTGGAGACAGGTCTAGAAGTCAAGCCTCGCTCAGGTTTAGCAGTTTGGAATCTCAAACCTCCATTTCCTCATCTATAGCATAGAGATAGTAGAGCTACCTTAGGCTGTGAAGATGAAGCAGCACATTTAAAAATACCAATCATCCCATGCTTTGTGGTTAAGTCTGCAAACAACGTGATTTCATCTGCAGAGGCAGTCAGGTGCCATAGATTAATAGCATGTTCTGTAGGCCTGATTTACATGAATATGTTGGTTTTAACTTTTGAAATATAAATGCTATTCTCATTTAATTCTGTCTTTGTTAACCCTAAAAGCATAACCTGAAAAGAAAGTTTATATGCAAGTAGTTAGGATTAGAAATAAAGGGTGGAAGATTGGAGAAGGAAACTCAAGTATACGCTACTGACATGTCGCCTTAGGGCGTTGGGCTCTCCCAAGGGATTTTGGAGGAGCCAGTGGAGTGTACAGAATTTGACCTCCAAATATGGGAAAACAAAATAGCCTGTCTCTATTGGTCAAAAGTTGGCTCTTGGAATTCCCTTGTGCTGCTGGGGCAGGTCTTGGAATGGCTGGCTGTGTTCTTAATCATTCATAGAGGAAGGAAACAGGACAAAAATATGATTTCTTTAGGTCTTCCGTTATTTAAATCTGTTTGTACAAGTATCAAGTCCAACCCATAATATATCCTTCAAGGTTTTGGTTATGTACAATCTACACAACACCCAGTAGAGGAAGCTGGTGGAACAAGTTACAGTCTACACTTTTGGAACCGCCTACCTCAACCATGCTTCCTGTGCATAACTGACTTGGCCATGGCTCAGCAGCCTCGGTGGCTTCTGATGGCATCACCAAGATCATTTCTAGCCTTGCTGTAGAAATGAATCAGGCCTCCACTGTAGCCACTGTCTGCTTTCCCTTACCCTGGACGCGGAACTGGCAAGATGCTCTAGTGAATGTCTGGGTTCAAGATGTTTGTAGTCCACACTGTCTCTGTAATCCTTACTCCTTGTAATCAGTGTTGATGCTGCCAATATTGAAAGTCTCTTTGTCTACTCTTTTCCACATACAAAAAGCCCAAAATGATAAAGAGGTAGAGTTACAGATTATTGTGTTTCTCTGTTAAAATTTTCTCCCTATACCCCGCAGTGTGAATCAAGACTTACTCATCAGAGCCTAAATTTGTAGAGAAGGGAGTTACTTATTCCATACATTAGTCACTGGGATGGCAGAAGGGCCCAGTCCTACTTCCTCTTGAATTCTAGCCACTGGGGCATAGCACAGTGTTTATGACCTTGGTTCGTTGAATTTACCATATAGTCAATTCTGTCTTAACCCTGTAGGACGTTGTCCCCAAGCTGGAACCTTAGCTAATTCTTTAATAGGCTTAGCTATATTCACTTGTGCCTTAGAGGCACTGTATTCACTTGACAACATGACTCAAGCTTCTGACGTTATATACAGTGGTCACATTACCTCATGGCAGGTGCTAAGATGCTTTTGGAATGGTAAATTGTTCTCTGCTGCAGCAGGCATGGCCTTGATTCAGAACCTTAGGCATCCCAGGGTCCTGCAGAGACTCCAAATGGCATCCCAATTTACCATGGATACCTAGAGTGTTGGTTCTATTGTATTACATGACCAAAGTGGCAGCTGTTTGCCTTACAGTTTGGACCTGCACAATCCTGTCTGGGCTGTATTCAAAATTAGTGGCTTTATGAATAGCCCCATAAATGGGACATAACAATATTCCCTCGTACGATATGTGTTGCTTCCAGAGTCTACAGACCCCTCATAAGGATCTGGGCCTTTTAAGAGGAAAGGGTGTGAAATGGAACAACTGACCTTCTTCTTGGAGGTGCTATCCTGACATGCTGAAGACCACTGAATCCTTATGAATATCACGGATATTCCCAAAGCATACAGATTGCTTTCCACTTTCTGGTATCTCATACCAACACATTGAAGTAATGAGGAGCCTAATGTATGAGAGAATCCAAACTTTGAGGCAGAAATAATAGAATTTGTGAGAAACAGCAATTCAAAGTGACCAGGGCAGTAGACATATGATGTAGCTGTGTGTACTAGCAGAATGCTACAGAGCTGAGATTTTCTGCAAAATGGGTCTTCAGTCCAGTTTGGATTTTCAGTTACCATTTCAGACCAGTGAATTTTGACTGAATCATATGACTCTCATTCCCAGTTTCCATGTGAGTCGTGTTTTCTAACTTGCCCCTGCCCATATAATCATAATAACTAACTGCCCTTGCCTCCTCTACCTCTTTTGATGGCCCCCTTGTTTAGGAACAATGTTCTTCAACAAGAGGTCTCCAGATCTCAAATAATTGTGTTATTCTAATTTTACTAAAGGGCAAAAATGGAATTTTACTTTGACCTTTGGTCTTTTTTTGGCTAACTTTGTGTGTGAATGTACACGTCTATCATAAGAAAATCTTAAGCAAGCGAGTAAAATAAAAAAATCACTCCTAATTCCATCACACAGGGATGATATTTTGGTACATATCCTTCTGAAGTGTTTCCCCCACTTCTGTGCTTATATATATATTTCTTCAACTACATGAGATACACTGTACAAAGTGATTTGTAAATTTGAGGTCAGTGATTTGTCATGAATATCACTCCTTGTAATAACTTCTATGACATTGGTAAATGGGTTTTATAACTTTGTGTTCCCAAGCAATGAATAAGGGGCCTGTTTCCCGTCTTTTCAATGATGCAACAGAGTACAATGGTTAACACCAGTCCCTGACGCCAGATTCTTTGCCTTTACATCCTTGTTTGACCATTTACTAGTGAAGTGACAGAGAAAATAATTAAATTCTCTGTGCTTCAGTTACTGTATCTTCCCAGCAGATTCTTCCAATATTGTTGATCACCTATCAAGAACTTAGAGCAGTGACAGTTTACTATGATTACTTTTAAACATTATGAAATATTTTAAATTTGCATTTCACTTATTGAGTGAACATTTTTTCATTTATTTTTGTCCATTTATGTTTGTTACTTGAATGTTCAATCTTACTGCCTACTATTTCTTCTGATATAATATCTTTTTTGTAATAATTTAAGGCTTCATTAGGATTGATAATACCTCTTATTTGTAGGGAAAAATATTTATATTGTATCCTTAATACCTAATTGAAAGAAAGCACTATGCAGGAAAATTTTTGCATAGCAGGAACTTGTAAAACATTTTTAAATATTGAGAATTATTGGCCAGAATGTTCCAGAGAATATAATCAATTTCAAACTTTTTGTTTTGTTTTGTTTTTAGTAGTTGACAACAATGTCCCAAATCATACTGAGTGGTCTGATGAGGACACCAATTGTCACCTTGTCTGAGCTCCAAATACTGCCATCTGTTTGGCTGATGCTGCTAGCCCTGGGCACTGAAGCCCACATTAGCACTGCTGAGCATCTAAAAAACTGACAAATGTGTAATGAAAAATGTAGCCAGGAATCAGATCATATGGCCCTTGTCACATAAAGTGAGACTTTAGTGTAATTTCAGTGAGAAGCATCGAAAGCATTAAACCATACAGAACCAATTAGACTTGCATGCCTGAAAGATCACTCTGGTTCCTGAGTGGAATATGATCACAGATAAAGAGAGGCTGAGGGAAGACCCATAATCAGACTCTTATCAGTCAGACATGATTTGCAATTTTTGAGACAGTGCAGAACAAAGCAGCCCCTGCCAATCCTAGATGAATCATCTGGGTGTGAACTTGTCAAAAGCTTTGTGAAAGTCTAACTATATTATCTCTATTAGTTCCTCTTTACGCACATACATGGAGCCATTCTTAATTCCTTATCCTTTTATGACATCCCTTTTCCTTCTCTGGAATAGTATTCCTCCCACAGCCGGCTGATTGTCTTTTAGCATAGATCCTGCTGGAGAAAAAAAGATCACTTTGCTTGCAATCTCACTGAGTCCAGTCCCTGATTTACCGTATGTTTTCTCATTTCTACTGGTTGATACCCCACACAGTCTACTCATAACTGTGGAGGAGATACAGAATACATGTTGTCTCTCTCTGATATTCTTCAGGATAATTAATGGGGTGCTTGAAGATATTAGAAGTCTATAAGAGGTTATTTTGATCAAATTTGCATGATTTCAAAATACGACAGCACTTTAGAATCACTAAAAATATAACTCTAAAACAGTTTTAGCAGAGTGGATTTTCAAAGCTTCTATTGCCATTTTCTATCTTTTGTGAACAAAAAGAATTTTTATGTTTCTATTTTTCTTGCAGAGGAAACATTTGTACTTGTCGCTGTAACTGTAATACTTCCAATCGCTTCTTCTCTGGCTTGGTGACTGCATTTTTCTGGCTGAGACAGAGGCTCCATATTTCATCAGTGCTCACTGTGGCCTGGAGAAATGCCAAGCCTCATCCTCTACCTGGAGGCCCTTCATTTCAAGTTAT